TTCACCTCAAAAAATTTAAAATTCTTTAAATAAATAAATAAATTATTCCATTTAAATTTCTCATCCAAACACACTATAAAAAAATTTATCCAAACAAAATACCTTATCTCAAAGGTATTTAAAATTCTTAAAAAAAAATAAATTATTTCATTTAAATTCTTTCTTCGAACACAGTATTGTTGCAATTAAATTCAAACATGGTAAAAGTTTTCATCATCAAAATCCCATATATTTTTTATTATTTAATTCTTTTTAATTAAAAGCTGAGATTTCATTGAATAGAAATGTCACGTAATAAAAAGGTTTTACACTCATATTTAATGTTGAAATTTGTCCATACAGTTACTGGCAGCAAATGATAGTTGGAAAGCATTTAGAGGAAGAAGTACCGAAGCCAAGGATCTGATCTTTACTCGAGAGAGATCTTCATTATTTCAGCTAAGAATGAAATATAATGTGTTCTTGGCAAATAATTCCACTGGAGTGTGTGACTTCAGAATCAAAGCAACTTGGTTAGGAGACTCTTGGGATGTTTACATTGGAGAGTCTGACATTGTTGTTGCCCAGGTTTTTTTTTTAACACTTAATCTTTTTTTGCTTAGAGTGATTTTTTTTAATTATGGTTGAAAATAAATTTTAATTATGGCAATAATTGTGATCCATTGCAGATAAACAAAAAGCTGGGCACTATGTTTAGCAGAGAGAAGTACATGGTGTCAGTGTATCCGAACATTGATTATGCATTCATTGTGGCGCTAATTGTGACTCTTGCATGAACGGTGTATGGTTAAATAACTCAATTTCTTTAGTGTAAAGTTGTTTTATACTAATAATTAATTATATTTTTTAATTATATTATATTATTATAAATATATTTATTTTTAACAGTGATATTTTTAAAGGGTGAGATAACTGGCCCCAAGATTTAACGCGGCACCCCTGACCTTGCTTAAGCGTGGATCAACCCTTACTGCTGAACCACACGCTTGGGGAGAGCCTAATGCTCTCTCGCGCCTGGCGCAATTCAACTTTGTGCCCAGCGCATGCCCAGGCAGAGACTCCAAGGAGTCTCACGCGCCCAGTGTGGCCTATCCCGCGCCCAGCGTGGGAAAGGCAAAGACCTACCAAGGTCTCGCGCCCGGCGCAATTTGCATTGCGCCCAGCGCCCTCTTGACAGAGACTCCCAAGGAGCCTCCGCGCCCAGCGCGACAATGGTGGCGCCCAGCGCAGCACCAGAAAACCCAAAACATGGCACAACTGATATCGCGCCCGGCGCGGTCCAGGTCACGCCGGCGTGGGCCATCTAGAGGCCTCCATTCTCAAGCTCGCCTGGCGCACACACCTTTGCGCCCGGCAGGCTTGCCTACATGGAGCCCCTGATGGTCTCGCGCCCGGCGCGAAGAACTGCGCCCAGCGCGAAGCTCAGCAGCAACTTCCCCAAGTTCGAAAATTTGCCCAAAACCTGCAAAAATCAACAGATAACCAACATGCAATCCAGCCAAAAGTCTCCATTTTCATCAAGTATCACGAAAAATACCTCATTTTCCACATGCAACCAACAAACAAGCAAAACCCCAAATTTTTCTTCCAACCTCGGAAAAACCCAAAAGCCCCAAGTTTTCAATCTTAGTAAAAACACCAAACCTCAAACAATCAAGGAGTTCCTAGAACTCGTTTTCAGCCAAAATGCAGTAAAGACTAACTTCCCTTACCTCGGTTCAACGGCTCCGAGCTTCGGGAAGAAGAGAATGATGAAGAAGAAGAAGAATAAGCTTGAGGGGGACTCCGCACGGCTCAGCTCAACCCAACTCTAGGCATCAGCACCTTGAATCCAAGCAAAGAGAGAATGATCAGTCAAATGAAGATTTTAGAGGGAAGAAGAGAGTTTGAGTGAGTGGGGAGGGAGTTGGGAAGAAAGAAAAACGGAAGGGGTCTCACAGATTTCTAAACATAGACTAATTAAGGGTGTTTGTGGCGCCATATATTTCAATTTTTTGGCTTAAAAATCACTAAAACAAACAAGAAAATTAAATTTGATTTAATTAAAATATATTATGAAATCTAAACCAGTTTTTTACAATTTTAAAAAAAAATTATGTAAAAATTTGCTAAATATGTATAATATTATGTTATTTGTTAAGATCTGTAAGTTAAAAATAAAATTTAAAGCATATAAATACTAAAATTTCTCAATCACTCAATGTGTTTATTATCAATTTTTATCTTATTATTATTATAGTAAAAATATTTTTTGTAATACAATTTTAATTATCATATTCAATTTATATATATATATATATATTAGTATAATTTTTACTAAGTATTACACCGTTCAATAATTTTATATTAAATGTGAATTTTGTAAATCCAACCGTTAGATTGAAAGATTTTTACTCTTAGATCATATATACAAAGTTTTTAACAATGAGAGTGCTGCTTTTGGACCGCATGACAAACATTTGGATAATTTTGGTCTAAACTGAAATTGTTACTCGGAAATTGATACTGACAATGTCTTCAATATTTATTCCAAGACGAATAAGGATATTTTCTCTTAGTTTTTCTATTTTCTCTTGCTTTAGTAAAATTATTTCATTTTAATGATAAAAGAATATACCTAACTGGCTAACTCCCTCCCTGTTGAAAATCAAGAGAAGAATGTTTGCAATTAAATCAAACACTTTCCAAAAACCAAAGCAAAAAAGAGAAGAATGTGTAACTAAATTAGTTGCCCGCATAGAAATTAAAACTGATCAAGCTCATTCAGAGAAGCGGGGTAAGGAATAAAAAAATGTTTATTATTCACTTCAAAATTCAATCTTCAATCAACAAATAATCTTTGGAAATTAGTTAAGACAGGAGGATGAGTAGGTGCTGCACTTGATTTTCTTGTGATTATGAAACATGGGTCCTCTAGGTATAGTTGGACTCTTCATTGATCTTGAGCATGTACAAAATCACTAACATGAATAAAGAGAAAAGAATGCATTGATCATTGAATTAATTAATCAATGCTTACCTCCTTTACATAAAAGGTCTATCAAAATATAGCATGCTCTTCTGCCAACTTCAGCTGAGTAACATACAAGAACTCGGTGCGTGTTTGCTTTAGATTTAGAAACGTGATTTTTCACTCTCTCTTCACGTTTACAAGCCAATTTATGTAGAAGTTACAATTTTTTGCTTCTCACAAACGTGAAATTTTTGAATATATAAATTATAATATAATTTAAATTATAATAAATAAATATATTTGAACATATATAATTTATATTTTAGATTTAAAATAATTAATTTATATTTATTTTAATAATATATATAAAAAATTAATTTAAAAAAATTAAAAGAGATAAATAATTAGAAAAATTAAGTGCACGGATAAAGATAAAAAGAATTGTGGTTTGGAATGGTTGAGAAAAAAAATTGGAATGGTTGAGAAAAAAAACTGGAATGTTGTTAAATGAAAGTAATTTTGAAACTAAAATTAAATATATTTGAAAGGAAAAACTAAAACATTAAACTAAATCTATATACCAAACTCACTTATTCATCGTCTATCAAACAGGTAAAAAAGATTATATCTATGTTTTAAAAAAAATACTCTTTAATAACGGAAAAAATGTTCAAAAAAGATAAAAGGGTAAAAAAAAAATTAAATTAAATATTAATATACGATATTAGGAAAAAAAAAAAAAAAGGTGATTTAATAAGAGTAACTATATATGTAAGAGTGATTATTCATTTTGTCTCTGACCTCATCGAGTATAACTAAATCTAATTAGTTTAACATAGTGTGTTAGTGTTGTAAACTCTATCTAAATCTCATTGAGATTTCTTAATACGAAGTATCCCAAACCACTATTAATATCCAGATATTCCAGCTCTGATTTTACAATGTTTCCTTTCATTAAATAATAAACACTGAGTGCGTGTTTGCTTTAGCTTTTGGACGTGAAAATTCACGTTTGTGAGAAGCAAAAAATTGTAACTTCTACATAAATTGGCTTGTAAACGTGAAGAGAGAGTGAAAAATCACGTTTCTAAATCTAAAGCAAACACGCACCGAGTTCTTGTATGTTACTCAGCTGAAGTTGGCAGAAGAGCATGCTATATTTTGATAGACCTTTTATGTAAAGGAGGTAAGCATTGATTAATTAATTCAATGATCAATGCATTCTTTTCTCTTTATTCATGTTAGTGATTTTGTACATGCTCAAGATCAATGAAGAGTCCAACTATACCTAGAGGACCCATGTTTCATAATCACAAGAAAATCAAGTGCAGCACCTACTCATCCTCCTGTCTTAACTAATTTCCAAAGATTATTTGTTGATTGAAGATTGAATTTTGAAGTGAATAATAAACATTTTTTTATTCCTTACCCCGCTTCTCTGAATGAGCTTGATCAGTTTTAATTTCTATGCGGGCAACTAATTTAGTTACACATTCTTCTCTTTTTTGCTTTGGTTTTTGGAAAGTGTTTGATTTAATTGCAAACATTCTTCTCTTGATTTTCAACAGGGAGGGAGTTAGCCAGTTAGGTATATTCTTTTATCATTAAAATGAAATAATTTTACTAAAGCAAGAGAAAATAGAAAAACTAAGAGAAAATATCCTTATTCGTCTTGGAATAAATATTGAAGACATTGTCAGTATCAATTTCCGAGTAACAATTTCAGTTTAGACCAAAATTATCCAAATGTTTGTCATGCGGTCCAAAAGCAGCACTCTCATTGTTAAAAACTTTGTATATATGATCTAAGAGTAAAAATCTTTCAATCTAACGGTTGGATTTACAAAATTCACATTTAATATAAAATTATTGAACGGTGTAATACTTAGTAAAAATTATACTAATATATATATATATATATAAATTGAATATGATAATTAAAATTGTATTACAAAAAATATTTTTACTATAATAATAATAAGATAAAAATTGATAATAAACACATTGAGTGATTGAGAAATTTTAGTATTTATATGCTTTAAATTTTATTTTTAACTTACAGATCTTAACAAATAACATAATATTATACATATTTAGCAAATTTTTACATAATTTTTTTTTAAAATTGTAAAAAACTGGTTTAGATTTCATAATATATTTTAATTAAATCAAATTTAATTTTCTTGTTTGTTTTAGTGATTTTTAAGCCAAAAAATTGAAATATATGGCGCCACAAACACCCTTAATTAGTCTATGTTTAGAAATCTGTGAGACCCCTTCCGTTTTTCTTTCTTCCCAACTCCCTCCCCACTCACTCAAACTCTCTTCTTCCCTCTAAAATCTTCATTTGACTGATCATTCTCTCTTTGCTTGGATTCAAGGTGCTGATGCCTAGAGTTGGGTTGAGCTGAGCCGTGCGGAGTCCCCCTCAAGCTTATTCTTCTTCTTCTTCATCATTCTCTTCTTCCCGAAGCTCGGAGCCGTTGAACCGAGGTAAGGGAAGTTAGTCTTTACTGCATTTTGGCTGAAAACGAGTTCTAGGAACTCCTTGATTGTTTGAGGTTTGGTGTTTTTACTAAGATTGAAAACTTGGGGCTTTTGGGTTTTTCCGAGGTTGGAAGAAAAATTTGGGGTTTTGCTTGTTTGTTGGTTGCATGTGGAAAATGAGGTATTTTTCGTGATACTTGATGAAAATGGAGACTTTTGGCTGGATTGCATGTTGGTTATCTGTTGATTTTTGCAGGTTTTGGGCAAATTTTCGAACTTGGGGAAGTTGCTGCTGAGCTTCGCGCTGGGCATAGTTCTTCGCGCCGGGCGCGAGACCATCAGGGGCTCCATGTAGGCAAGCCTGCCGGGCGCAAAGGTGTGTGCGCCAGGCGAGCTTGAGAATGGAGGCCTCTAGATG